ATGTCCTGGCAGACCGTGTTGAATCGTGTTTTTAGTTGACCTTTTTGCTGCCTAAAGACGGGCGGCTGCACCAGGCCAAAGACAGTTGCATTAGACTCCTGGAAAAGGCGACGAAGACTGTGCCTAGGCTGCCTCAGCCCCTTTCTTCCTCTGACATGAGGGACTCTTGCGATGTTAACGCAGCTGGTGAGGATCGTTTTATTCAAGACGAAGTCGATATTTAACTTAGCCTATCGTTCGCGACCAACTTTCGCCCATCTCCTTACACGCAGCCCGGGACCGTAGGGGTAAACTGACTGGACGGGTGCCTGACACACGCGGGTCTTACTGGCAATTCGGTCGTCACAATGGACCCATAGGAACCTTCAAAAGCTTACAAAAACCCTGCAAGTAGCACCGGTCTGGGCAACTTCGTATATGCTCAACCCGCTTGGTCCTCCCATTCAGTAATAGGCGCACATCAGCCTTCCTGATGAAGATCATCCACCAGCGTTTTGTTGACGAGTTATTTGGCTATAGGTCAGGTGTACAGATCAACATTGCCCTGTGGGCGCCTCTCCGCCCAGATTTCACCAGGCCTCTTATAGTTGAGGATGTAGCGCACGTCTGCGTGAAAAACACGATATTCCTCTGTTAGGCACGCGTAAATTTCTGGTCTGTAGGCCTTCGCTGGGGGGTTTGGGCAGGATGTGTTCGCCAACTGTTATTAACCCATCAGTCCTTCGATAGTTGTCGCAAGACAGCAGTGCTAGCAGCTTCCTAGTTGATGACGGACGTCACTTGCGAGGTATAATCGTTTTCCCACACGAGAGCTTGGCAGCGAACGTCTTGGATATCTGAAACAGATCCGGGATTGGGGTTGAGTGAGACAGCGAAGTGATGTACGTGGCAATGGGGAACAGCATGTGTGGGCCCTGGTATTCCGATTGGCTTTGCCGCCGCATCTGTTTGAGCCACAGATTCCGACATGATTTATTTACTGTTGGGTAGACTGCCGTGGACGAAGTTATTGGCTGTGGCAACGATGGAGATTGTAAGAACTTTGCCCCTTGTGTGTGTATGTTTTTTTTGGGGGGGGAGCTGGTCGTGCGTATGGCGCGGGCAGACGAGCTCTGTATGACTGGCAAAGGTAACGAACAGGCAGCCAACTACCAGGCCGAAGTCGGCCAAGTTATAATAGCAGCAAAGAGGGCAACAGAGAATGCGGGTAGATTGGTACAGTACTATTTCGGGTTTATTCTGCCGTCATTCAGTCAATCATAATCCTGACCAGTAGGTGGGACCAGAACCACAAAATAGATCGTTTCGAAATCAAAAACCAAAAAATTGGCGAGGAAGCACCAAATACAAGTGACGCACAAACCGACGACTACGCCATGCAATCAGCTTGTACACCCTAAGTGTGGGTTTGACTAGTTGGATAAAAAAATTAGTCTATAAGATTCCATGTGGCACTTGTGATGCGGTATATTGTGGTCAAACCGGGAAATCCGCCTCCACACGCCTACATGAACACCAATTGGCAGTAAAGAGGCGGAAGCACTTATCCTAAGTCGCCATGCATACCCTTGAAACTAGGCCTAAGTTTGCTTGGGATAAAAAACATCGTCGGTTTTTGCCCATATAAGAAAAGCCGAGAATTTCTAGAGGTCATTCACTCCACTGATTCATGCATCAGTCTGGACGCCATGTACACAAATCTCAGAGGAAAATGGAAAAGGTGATAGCTAATCAAAACGTGACGTCAGCCCACAGCCTCGACCCACTCTCAGTACTGGCAAAGCAATGTCGATTTTCCGGGCATGTTTGAATTTTGACTGTTTATCACAATTTATACGCATTCTGCATGTATATATATGCTTGCAGAATAGCATTACCAACAAAGACAAAAGAGGCTGGAAATGCCATTCCTGGCTTATTAGCCATGGTCGACCAGCCGTACCCAACTTTGAAGTGTGGAGCACCTGGGGCTCGGTCCTGCGACCTGTTGGTTAGAAGTCCAACGTCTCTAACCACTGAGCCTCGGGCTCGTTGTCCTGTCGGTTGCGATCGGGAATATACAATGGTAGACGGGCGCTCACCGATCGTTATTACGCAACTCACCCGTCCTGTTGTGCCTTGGGGCTCTCATTTACGAGCCCAACCGGCTTATAAGTCAGAAATGGCCATTCCAATCTCCCTTGTCTTTGTGAGTAAGACTATTCTGCCTATATCATGCGCCGCTGTGCGATTGTTGATTGTTCTCTAGAGAGACCGCCCTATGGCACAACGGAACGAGTGAGTTCCGTAAAAATGATCAATGAGCATCCCTCTACCATTATATGTAAGGGGCTATAGACAAAGACGAGGAAGATCGGAATGGCCATTTCTGGTTTACTAGCCGTCGTCCGCTAGCCGTACCCAATCCTAGTATTGTGGGACCAGGGACCAAAATCCGGGCTCTTTGGTCATTATACGCCAAGTAGTTCAACGCTCTATCATCGAGCCACCGGCCAGTTGTCCCGTCGGTTATTGACGGGAATATTAACTACCGTAGAGGGACACCCACCGATCAAGTCATGAGACGTGCTTTCCTACCAATCATTATCTGCATATACTTCTAATCGCTATACAACTGCCTGCGGGGGGGGACTTTAAATTGAGTTTTAAGGCACGACGGGAAAAGCAGGTCCTATAACCTGACCGGCGAAAGCCGCTCCACTGCATATGTATGCTTTGAAGTGTAGGCATCCCTGGAAATATGAGTCAAACTCAAATACGTTCTCTGGGAAAAATGAGAAATTTTACTGTGCAAATTCTGGACGCCGGTTCCCCGGATCATCAGACGTTGAATGAGCGTGCGGGGAACAGTTAGCCAATACTTGTTCGGCATTTTCACCAGTAAGCGATCCTCGTATGCGTCATTCCGTTCTGATTGGCTCTCACCTCTTCTATTTCTCTCTGACAATTTTGTATGTGACACCCAACTCAATGTGCGGATTGGTGCGTGATTCATTTGAGTACGTAGCTTCGATTAACTTTTGGCATTTCTTGAAATGACAGTCACCGCCAGTGCGAATTTGTCGCATGCGAAGGTGTGCCCGGTGTCCAGGGTACGCATGACCACTTGGAACAGGTAGTATGGTCTCTTTACTGCCATTTGCCGTTCGTGAATGCGTGTAGAGGCGGATTTCCCAGTTTTGCCACAGTAAACTGCATTGCAGGCAGTCTAAGTTGGTGCAGTTTTCTCTTTTCGAGGTGATCTTTTAATGTCCACAGCATGACACGCCTCTGATTGCCGGAGTTCCATCCACCCAACAAACCCATATTATCCTTTTCGTTCAGTCTGGGCGCAGTCACCCAGCACCCGTGTCAAAGTCTGTCTACAGTAAGCTGTGCCACGGCACGCAGGTGTCCTGCGAGCCGAAGCCATAATAGTTCACACACCAGCGTTGACAGCCGGACTCCATAGGTGGGCGCTCACCACTAGCCAACCGAATGGAGTGGGGTGTCAACCGCCTGGGCTAATGAGTCTCCAAGGTCACAGAAACGTTTACCTGGAGGGGAAGGAGAGGTGGCTGCAGTCGTATCTATTATCCCGCACCAAAGTTTTCCTCCTTTGAGCGTGTTTTCGGCTAAAAGAATACTTCCGAATCTGATCTACGACTCTCGTCCTTCCAGATTATTTATGTGTTCTGTGACACTGTTCACATCAAATTACTGTCGCTGGTTCACCACACTGTGCGTGTTTTGTCGCTAATATACATGATTGGCGTACAAAACACTCTGAACTCTGTTCAAGTTCGTACACAAGATAACAGCTTGATGTAGATGCCTTAGAAAATTTGTGGACTGGTTAGCAATTGTAGGCCTTTGCCCCAACCAGTCTTCATCGATACAGGATGAATGAGACCACTCGGGAGAGGGATGTATCACACTTGGAAACTTGGACTTCGAGTTTAACACTTCCACGAAGTTATTCTACGAATGATTAAATTACCCGGGGTGAAGTGTTATTTTTGTCGACACCGTGAACAGTGTCGACCTTATCATGCATTCCTGAAGGACCGTTTTTCTAATTTGGCATTTGTTCGGGGACTGTAGAACCTGGGCAGAAGGGAACTTAGGCGACAAGATTAATCTGGAGGAGACGCGTTGCAATAAAATCCCACTCAAATAACGTGGGCTCATTACAGAAGGTTTGAAATTCGAAAATCCGCCCATCTGAACCTTCTCTCGGAAATGGCATAAGATGTAAACAATCAGGGACATTCGTTCAGATCCAAGAGCGTCTAACGTCACACTCTGCAGATGAGATGCTGGTGAACGCGAGCTCGGAAGACAAAATGCGTGTTGCCCGCATTCCTTCGAATTCTCTTTCCCGCGCTGCTTACACTGCTGCTTTTCGACCCAAAGTCAGTAGGCACGACTATTTCCACTAGCCGGGGCACTAATTGTGCACATGGAGATGTGCGGCAGTACAGAAGAGCAAGCTTATTAAATCATTCCCACGGTACTTGTCAACTCCAACGATGGAAACTTGACGACCAATTACTCTGACGCGGTTGGTCAAACATCACCTCAATTACGAACATCAGCCATTATTTTTATAGTATCTGTAGCTCGATTTCGTGCTCCAGTTTTATAGTCTGATGGTATTTGACAATCCCATCCTGTAATTACTGTAATTCGCTGGCTTATCTGTACATTTACTTTGAAGTATTTTTCCCCAGTGCCTCTTACGTTAGTCTCGCTCATCTCTTTCTTCACCTGAACGTCTTATTAGTTTCCGTCCTCCTCTCTCTCCCTCTTGTTGTTAAAGCTCAGCTCACATTCTCTGGCTTTCTAAACTGTACTTCATGACGGGTTCTTCTCAATCAGGGGCCTGTCAGACAGCCACTTTACTTTTTCGATCACTGTGAAGATTCGATTCTTTCAGACATTACTGTTCACTAACTTGCACTGTCACAGTGAATGTTTACCTCTTCTAGTTCCATAGGCCATTCCGACAATTTTGGCCAATGAGTAGAAAGGGTATCGCAAGGCGAAAGCTCTCCTACTCCAAATCAGGTTAGCTTTGCTTTTTCAATTTTGCCTTGTGCATCTGATGCCTATTTGAACTGGTTAACGGCCGAATTACGACTGCATAACGCACATTCACCAAAAAATTGCCGTCTGGTTTCAAAGAAACGTCGTTGTAAACTCACTGTAACTGATAACTGCACTAAGGGTGCGCACCTCACGTGGTAAGTTTTGGTCTTGGTGCTCAAATTCGACTAAGTAGCGCCATGAAGCGAAAGTACATCTGAAGCGAACTCAGTCATTCATTTGGATGGGAGTTGACATAGATCAGTGTTAACATTGTGATACTTTGTCTGGGAATAAATCATGATGCTTGTTGCTTAAGCCAGAAATTTTCGGATAAATATTTTACCATTTTGAACTTCTATGACAAACAGCCACCAATCAAGTACACTTGCCTTTATCCAACTAAGTAATCTGCAGAACAGAGCTTCTAAAAAGATTGTTTTAGATGTCAGTGAACTTCGGCCAAAACCTCCCAAAGTATATTTGAGTATGCCAAAGCAAAATGCAAGCGACAATCAAACACCACCTCACTGGTATGGGGGTTAAGACATTGATCTTCCCTAGAAGACTGAACAACGTAGTAGCATTACTGATACTAAAATCTCTGCCAAAATTACTACTTCTATGCTAGAATTCACACTCTGGAGAGCTCTCTTTTCTTGAGTGAAATATTGCCCTTCCGTTTGCTCTCATTTATTTTTTGCCGTTACCTTTAATCTCATTCTATTTGATTTAAAGATGAATGGATATCCACTGCCATCCCTCCAGATGAATTCAATCTGAAGGCTACGCTGAAAAGCGGGCAGGCGTTCAGGTACTTTTTATGCTGACCAATAGATCTCTTAACTGACAGTATAGCTACACTAGTCGGCTGGGAGCCTGGTGCATATCGTCCGCTTGCTGTGACCCCTCTCCCTCATTGTTCGGCGTTGTAGAGGACAAGAGTCCAATTGTGCGACTGGCCTCGGAACGTAATCATAAGACCACGAGAAAGGAGTCTATGCTAGTCCGTCCAGGATGGAAACCAAGTATGGCGTCGGCAAATGGCTCAAAACCACTTGTATTAAGTCCACGACCCAGGATTTCTTCACGGAAACTGAGGCTTATTTATTCTACTTGTTATTAGTACTATTAAAGACCTTTGTCGCTCAGCTCGCCATCACTTCTACTGGTTGCTTTTATGCTGCTAGAAATGTTGAGCGAATCACCCACGTTTCGTTACTACATTTAAGTCGGGGTCTTAGGACAAACGCATGAACAGATGGCCGAATAATACTAGTACCTCTTTAAAATAAAAAGGCACAACGTTACGCATACTTTGTCTTCCTATAACTGTTAAACATCATTCACGCAGACGCCGCAGTCGTAAAGTTAAGCAACACTGTTAAAATACACAGTGTCGGTAGTCTTACCAGTTTCATAACTCATCACTTTCCTCGTCAGTCATGAGTTTTATGCGTCTTCTCTCTAGATGGGTCGAGGTTGGTTCCACCGCTGAGTTCGTCGGAGTCATTGGTGAACGTGTTTGGCGCATCAGACAGTCGAATGACAACGAACCCGTCTCCTTCCACAAGTCTAGCCTCAGCGAAGCCGAGTTATCTGCCGTCGGTCAAATCCCGGAGCCTCTGGTCAGCTACTTCCGTCTCGACATGCAGTTAGGTCCTCTTATTCAACACTGGCTCTCCAGGGACCCCACCCTCAGACAAGCCCTTATCACTTTGCCGTTCGATTGCTCTAACCGGTTCCGTGGTATCCGACTTCTGCGTCAGGATCCCGTGGAGACTATTATGGCCTTTATCACTTCCGCAAACAACAATGTACCGCGAATTACGAAGCTACTACTCGCATTGAGTCGACGTTACGGTAAAGCGCTTGCCCAAGGAATCGACTGCGATTCCGCAATCTACTCCTTTCCCACCTTGGAAGCTCTGGCAAACCCAAGCACTAGGGATGAACTACGAACACTCGGCTTTGGTTACCGCGCAAATTTTATCCCGTAAGTAGCCCTTAACATAGCTTGTGGTCATCGAAGGACGCCTTCAGTCGTATCACCCGTATTCGCTTCTTCGAAGGGCTGCAGCACAGCAGATACTTGCAGAGGGTGGTGTGAAACGCCTGCTCGAGCTCCGCAATGCTTCATATGAAGAGACGAAAACCTTTTTACGAAAACTCCCCGGCATTGGAAACAAGGTGCGCTGCCTCCTTATTAAAATCGCACTTTCACCACAAGACGGGACGAATTGCCTTGTGATCCAATGCATCAAACCTTTTTATGATAATCAGTTGATCACTGTGCTGCCAGGGGAATACCTACTCGAAAGTTTCGCACATAAGCCCTACGCGTCAACCCTGCCTCTTGTAGAAATGTGTTCATACCGTCTCTCATGACGCTACGTTCGCGTCAGTAGACTGCCAGAGCGGCCTGCTATCGGTTAATCCTCGTTCATTAGCCTTTGGCAATTTTATTCAGTTATCGTTACTTGCAGGCGTACGGATGCCCTAACTCGGTTAAGCTCTCGTAGTTCTGTGGAATTTCCTTACACGATACTCGTTCTGGAGTAGTTGCTAGTCGAATTTAGGTACGCGGGCCTGATGTAAGTGCTCTTGAAGCTAGAAAGCGCTTTTTTCTGGGATAAACCTTCTAGACTGTTGAATAACTGATAAACGTAAGTATTAAATCAACATTAAGAACACTAACCACCCGCATATCGAGTGTCGTAAATTAAGTCTGATATCACTGTTTGCATTCCGAAGTCTTGACATATACGAATGTGCATAATGACGAAAATCAAAAAAAAATAATAGAACTTGAGAGGATGTCCTAGCCAGTACATGCGTGGACAAGAGATTTGATTAAGTTGAGGCTGCCTGGTTTTCTGTTCGCACAGGTGGCCGATTGTATCTGCCTATCGTGTATGGACAAGGTGGATGTGGTGCCCGTTGACGTACACATCGCCCGAGCGGCAATGCTTCGTGGCATAGAAGTGCCCAAATCTCGGTCCTTAACTGAAAGGGCCTATAAATGCATTTCTGAGGGGTTGTCCCATCTTTGGTCACCCTACGCCGGCTGGGCACAAGTGGTAAGCAATCTGTCCCAATATGTAATACATTATACTATATAATTCGATATATGTCGTACCGACTCCGTACATTAAGGACGTCTCGGAGGCCGTCAGTCGCCTTCTCGCACCACTCGGTGTTAGGCTCGCACACAGACCGGAGGCAGCCATTGGGCGTCAGGTATTAAGACCAAAAGTCCTAATACCACGACAAAAACATCGGGAGTCGTTTATCGAATCTGGTACAGTTGCGGGCAAAGCAATTATGTCGGGAAAACTGGAAGAATGCTCCAGATGCGAATCGCCGAACACGCGGCAGCAGTGCGGAGAAATGATGCCTACTCTGGAGTCGCGGCCTATTCGACGTGACCCGGCCACACATTAAAGTTTAGTGAGGACAAAATTTTGGCGAGAGGTGATAATCGCGTAAGGCGCGAGTTGCTCGAATCATTGTTTAGGGGACCTCCGCCTATTAACAAGTGCAGTAATATCCCCACTCCATATTCGGTACTGAGACTTGATCTGGCCAAAGTAATTAGCCACTCAGAGAGAACACAGGCCGCTGAACCAGGTGGCCGACCGATCATCACTCCAAAATTCAACACAAATGATAAAATTTCTGCAATTAACAACTTGCATGTCGGCCATCGAGAAATTAGCGCACCAGGGGACAGCCATTCTCGATGAAGGGGACAGCCGTTAATTATCACAGGTATGCAGTAGCATAGTGACTGCGTCCTTGGAATACTACTACTTCCTGTGTATGAATTACCTGTGTCTGACACTGTCTCTGATGATGGGTTCGAGTGTGAATCCTAAACGTCAGACGAACAAAGCCCTTGTTCCATTGGTTGCATCTACTTCTTACCAACTTCTTCCTGGAACTCGCATTTTCGCTTGCATCGGCGTGACGTTCCATTGTTAAACAGAAAATAAATTTTACCATTTGTTGGACATTCTGAAAACGGTACAAGTTGCTCCGCTGGTGCCCTCTATTATCAGAGTAGAGTGCTTACGAAATTGCTTTACTCGGGCGAGCTCACCGAAAAAGGAGAAATTGAGTCCTAGGCCTTTTCACTAATTTGCCTATTTTCTTCAGATCGCCTTCTCGCTCCATCTACATGGCGTTGGTGGAACAAACTCCAGGTGATTTACACATTTTTCTATTTTAACTACCTTTTTCCCTTTCATTACCCATTTGTAGGCAATCTCTTTCAGCATAAGGTTCTGTTAATGCCTTAGACATTTCAACAACTTGAAGCTCCTGATATAGTCCGTTTTCATGTTCGTATAGAACATTCAGTACGGTCAAACTAGGCTGCAATTTCGTTTTTTCGTTTCAAATCAGGTTTAGCTATAGTTATCTTAACTTGGCCAATATCAGACTGCTTGGCGGTTGCCTGTTTGTGACCTCTGCCTCCTATACGGAACTTTTTTTGCTTCTAAAAGCCAGTAAATCGGCATTAACGACTTTCCCACGGTATATACATACAGTGCGTTACTTTACTCATGAAATGTGTCGAAAATTACGAATTATTGCCAATCACTCGTACACCGACACCATTTCATGAGTCCAATGTCTATGTTAATTAAGTAAATGTTTAAAAAAAGTAAAAACAGAAGAAATATTAAAGGCGGTGTTGCGTCGTTTAGAAATGCCGATTTTTTAAAAAACCGCAATATCCCCAAAACGTCAGAAATGGCTCAAATTTAGTGAACTTCGTTTTTAGATTTATATAGTGTATTCTCATACCAAAAACGTAGTAAACATGAACGTGGAAATAAAATAACATCTAATGATAGTGTTTCAGTGAAGTTTACATCTAAATATCGTTTAATATTTAGTGTGGTTCCATATATGACGGTTTGTTAACTGCCTACATTCTGAGTGTAGATTCCAAAACATTTTTCCAGGGATTCGTGGTATTCTTGACTCATTTGAGTTAAATGAGATGGGGTTCAACAAGAGAAGCTGGATTTTGCTTGATCTGACCGATGGGGACGTCGTAGGAACAAAAGTTTTCTTAAGGTGACGTGCTGTCAGGCCGATCGGTACCTAATGACTTTAAATAGAACTTACAGGCGCGATCGTAAACGTACCATTTTGTGTTTCTAAAGAGAGCTTTTCTTCCGTCAAATTAATTTAAACTTTTCGTTCGTTTTCGACTACGTTAAGTTTCAGATCGGCCTCGAAATGTTGATGAATACTTCATGATTTTCAGTGTTTTCATCCGATCGTCCATAAAGTCAGATTCTGAATTACCTGTCTCTTAAGAACTTTAAAATAAGATTATTCCTGAAGGCATTTACCGAATAAGTGAGTGTTCGGGCGCTCCTTTTCACGCAGATTGTCGTTTGGGTCACATGTGAAGACACATTCGAACATCAAACTTCATTTTCGAGAAAAACAGCTGTCCACAACAAAACTCGGCAACGAATATGCCTTCGATCAATAAGAAAACTTCCCTTTATAAGTTACCTTGGGCCCCTTGTCCTGTCGGTTTCGATCGGGAATGTACAATGGTAGAGGGACGCTCACTGATCGTTCTTACGGAACTCACTCGTTCCGTTGTGTCATTCCAGTCTCCCTTGTCTTTGTTGATAATAACATACTGCCTATATCATGCGCCGCTGTGTGGCTGCTGGTTGGCCTCGAGAGAGAGAGAGAGCCCGTAATGCACGAAGGAACTAGTTAGCTCCGTAAGAATGATCGGTGAGCGCCCCTCTACCATTGTATATTCCTGATCGAAACCGACAGGAGAACGGGCCCGTGGCCCAGGTTTTCTGATCATATCCTATCAGACGTCCACAAACCTTGGGGCCCAGAAGGGTAACACACAGCCCTGCATTTGCCTGGCGCGCGAGGTCCGGATATCTTCTCGCGTTCATCATCCCTTGAAGAAGACAACGTAGAAGAGAGGGCGATTTCATGGCCCGAATTCTATTTGGACTGACGTTCCGGATACCTCGCTTCTATCATTAGAGTTTTGTGGTCGTTGCCCGCCTCATATTGTAACCGTGCTCGACGCACGAACTTTGACCTGCCCGTTTGCTGCCGACTAGCTTTGCCCTCCCCCCTTCCCCCGAGGATGGCCCCTGGCGGACTCGCGTGACCGTTGTCCCCTTGTGGGCCGGTGTAGTTGTAGCCAAGTCAACGTGGTTGTCGGCCTCCCCCGCGCCAGTCCGCCGACTGATCACTTGTTGCCGTTCGGACGAGTTGCCTTCAGCCTCGCATGCGCGCCGGTGAGGCAATGTTAGATGCTGGTCATTTGACCTCTGGCCGTCGCCCCCCTTTTTCCAGCGTGTGTTGTCTCTCGGGTTCGCCTGCTTAGCTGTCCTTTGTACCCTCCCCGAGCCTATTAAGTAGCGTCTGGTAGGCGGGATGCAGGTTTATGGCCCGGTTGATTGTGCCCGTCAAGGTCGTCGAGTCAGAAAGTAATGTTTGACCTTGGAACCAATTCCTTGGGATAAACTTTCTCATCAAATCAAAATCTTAACAGTCCGTCGCGGAGGATATTCCAGAAACTTCATAGGAACGCTGGTTGACCAACTTATGTGTGGTATTTCTCGTAATTGGGTCGTACAGCAGCACAAAGTCGACAAAGCACTGTGGCAAATCTATCAGTATTTATATACTAGTGGACGACCTGTTGACGGAGTACTAGTATTACGCGGTTATTTCGCTGCAGTCGATGGAGTTTAGCTGATATATTTGGCAGGGCTCGATAATATGGATCCTCCGTGTTAAGTGTAGTCCTATGCCAAATTCCAGGGGATAAGGTTGAAGCTAGGACACGGGAATAGGTGCCTCTCTGTAATTCAGCGATAGGTCATCTATACTACGAGGGGTCCGTTTCCACCTGTCCGACCAAATATTCATATCAACTTTTGGACTGAAACTGAAGGGTCTTGTTTCTAACAATTTACTAAGAGTTCACCCATTAATTTCTTCGTGTATCTGAAGAATTCGATGGACCTTGTTTAAAAAATGCATTTTCGCCCCGACGCCTGCTAGCATCGTCAAGTGCTGACGCCCGAAACGGTCGTTGGGTTATTATAGAGGTCCGCCGTCCGCCTCTCCGTCAGTGTGCGACGGGCACACATGTACTCGTTGCGAGGTGTGCCGCGCGGATCGATAATGGCCCCTGGTGTAGGATATACGTCGCCGTGCGATTGTTAACACTCCCACTTTTTAGTCGCTAGGGCTGATAGATGCCGGCCGTCTATGGGCCGCGATGGTGACCGGCATGCTTGTCCGTCACGTCTGGCTGAGGTTGTGAAGATGAACGTAATACTGGAGGTTGGCCAGTCGATCGATCGAATTTACCTGGAGAACCGGGCTTCAGACGGTATAATTTATCTACCGAGAAGCTTTGTAATGTTCTAGCCAGATGTGTGCCTTCCTTTCAGCAACGTGAGAGTTGGGGTCTGTGCGCCATCTGATGTTCGTGTAGACGGGTCTCCGCCGGTCCCTGAGCACAGTTGCAATCACCGTCTATACACTATCCTGCACATCGCGGCCGGGTTCATCCACAGACCAGGGAGCCCGTGGGCTGCGGCAGAGTCCGGCGGTGTGGCTTCTGGTCTGTAGGCTCTCGCCCAGCCAAGGCGTACTTACGCTGTGCAGCTGTCATTATGCCTGGTCCATCGTCCTCGATGTAGCGGATTGCGTCCTCCCCACGCAACGAACCTGGAGAGGTCGACCCGTGCTTTATGCCAGCTTTCTTCCGGATGAACTATATGGGGCCATATTTTGAGTAAATCCTCTCGCCGCCTTCAATTACCCAGTGGCTTGTCTTGAAGGGCATTAGCACTGAACTCACGGGACAGCGGGAGTATATCTCTCCTCAATTTCTTGTGGCCCACCTTCAAATGTGTTATGGAAAAGAAGTGAATATGCTATTTAGCCAAACAAATAGTTATGTGAAGTATCACATCAACGATTGCTTTGCCATAGTCCCATCACAATTTGCAGCTAGTGCCTAGTGATTTGACTGCTCTTCGGTTTGATCCGCTCAGACTAACTATTTGATCCCATTTATCCACAACTGGCTGACCATCGCAAGACTAGACGACATCTTTCTATCCTTAAAAGCCACAGGTAGACTAGAGAAGTGAAGTTCTCGCACTGGGGCTCGCAAAACCGAACGAGCTTGTTGAACAGTGTATGTCAACCTGTCATCTTCTCTCACCAAACTTGCTTCTACTTTTGTAGAAAAGTGCGGTCTCTCAACCCCCTGACACTGCCACCGCCAGCAAGCTATAAGAAAAGGAGGAAGCCCAACCGGATCACTTAGGTGCTAAAATCAGCACGTTTCTTTCATCAGAAAGAAAGAAGGAGCTAAACCAGCATTCAAAACTTCAATCGCTTTGTCCCGCTTATGGCCTACTATGTTTATTTGTTTCATAAATGTCACTATTACAATCCTAATCTGAAATTCATCCATTTTGTCTTATAAAACCTCGAGCATTTTTAGAAATTACATTAACCAACTAAGTACGTTTGCCTCGACTTCTATCTTGTTGCCCGAAACAATATAAGAGACACGAGTCTAAGCACCCCTTGCCTGCGGCTACAGTAAAAGTTTATCACCATGAGCCTAGACGACGAGCAAACTGTTATGCCTTCGTGAATTCCCGCGTCAATGCCAATCCGTAGACAGTGTCGCTGAGTCGCTTTAGAAATATTTGATACTAAGATTATTTCAGAAAATGAATTTTCAAGGGTAGCCATTTTTAAAACCGACAATTGCGCACGTAACGAATTACAAAGATCCGCTTTCTCAGCTGCAGCAACGCCAAGGGCCACAGTTGCCTGCTAACTGTTCTGTCGTTTGCCAGCAGCGTAGAGCGCATTGCTTTCGTAGAGGGGCGCTCACCGATCGTTTCTACGGAACTCCCTCGTCCCTTTTCGCCTTACGGGCTCTCTCTCAAGCCCAACCAGCAGCCGCACAGCGGCGCATGATATGTCGGTAATACCATTCTGCCTATATCGTATGCCGCTATGCGGCTGCTGGTTGGACTTGAGATAGAGCCCGTAAGACACAACGGGACGAGTGAGTTCCGTGGAAACGATCGATGAGCGCCCCTCTACCACTGTGTATTCCCAATCGCAACCGACAAGACGAGCCCGTAGATCAGTTATTAAGGGCGTTGGACTTTTAACTAACAGGTTGCGAGATCGAGCCCCAGGTGTTCCACGCTTCGGGGTTGGGTATGACTGGCTGAAAACGGCTAATAGAGCCGGAAATGGCCATTCCCGTCTCCCTTGTCTTTGTCGGTGACACCATCCAATGCTTTGCCTCCTAACACGCAAGAATTGTTATTGCCAGTCCTCCGGTTGGCCATTTCTTCGTCTTCTGGTGCGCTTCCCTTACCACTCCCCTCCGAGTAGTCGCCCATACTGCCAGAAAATTACGCTTACCGATAAAGATTTTGAGGTTGGCAATATGGAGATGATAATTCTCACTATGGCACAGCGCCTACATTTAGGTGTAATCTACCAGTTCACTACATAGCCATAACAACGAAGTAACGTTCGTGACGTTGTTCGATGGCTTTGAGCAACCGCTGACCTGATATAGTCGACCCGCCTTCTCAGACGGGAACTCGACTAACAAGAACGGGGCATTGGCCTTGCATAATCTCAACATATGGACTTCGGAAAATTGCAAATGTCAACCTTCCGACAGCGGTTGCGTGACTAGGGAAAAGAGGGGAGAACCAGCATTCGACTCCTCGCTAGCGCTTGCAGTTGTACCTAAGAATTTGCCCGCCTCTCCCGCTGGGTTTTACTTTTCCTGGCTCCGATGTTCGCAATAAAAAACTAGACGACCGCTCACCACCTCCGACCTGCGGTTGAACAAAGTGGGCCTGGTCAACCGCAGTAAATCTTATGAATCAGTAAAAAGATACGTACACCAGGGACGTGTTCCTGCGTATGATCGAGTTAGCCGTGACAGGAATAACATGCCGTGGAGCCAGTCTGTGTCCTTGGGCTTGGATTCGCATGACTTGACATACGGCGGAGTTTGGCGCATCGAATGACCCAGGGTTGGGTTCCCACTCATCAACAGCCTTTCGTGCAACCTTCCTCCTCTTTTCATTTGGTTGATACCGACGATGTCCCTTATTTTGGTCTACATGTGACCGCAATAGGCAGTGATTTCCATTGTGAAAGAGCTGTTTCATGCTCCCATAGGTTTGTCTACAGCATTCCCTCTGTTTGAACTGTACACTTGCAGGCGCAGTCGGTAGATAGAGTGCACGCATGGGCTCATTCTGCTCTTGGTGCGCCTGGTTGGCTTACACAGTGCAGTCACCAGTCGATATAGGAAACTGATCCCGAATTTGCGAACGATGTAGTCTGAGTGGCTGCTGAGACGCCACCGTGGTGGGCCGCGTGCCATCTTAATCCTTTCAAGGTCTGCAAAAAAGCCTTTTTGACGTCTGGAAGGCAGAGTCTAGCGGTACCGGGCGTTCACTTTATATGAGAACCACAAGCATAGAAGCAAGACTGTCATTGTGCGAAGTGTGCTGACAGATAAGATTTGAATTCGCTCTGAAAGCAGCTCACCTCAAAGTGCGGAACCGATAAGGCTATATGCAAATGGACACATTAAGCTGCGTTGTTGGGCGAAGAACCTCGTCAGGAGATCATCCCACGTAGGTTGTCCGATTGCCGTTGAACCCCACGAAAAAAGGCTAAACGTGCCAGGACGGTCCTCGCAACCCACCTTCAGACCTCGTTAAAAGATCTGGGAGCGAAATCAAGCATTTTGTGCCACCATGGTTTGCAGAGTGACGGTGGCCTTTCTAATACATTTTACGTCTAAAATATTTGCAGAAATTCGCATTCCCACTTATCCATTGTGGCCAACGTTTTCTCCTAAAAGTGCGCTGGTAGTAGTTGCACATGATACACCTGTGATCTAGTTGGCGTAGATGATGCCGCGGATTGTAGCTTTCCACTCTTGTCGATCCACGACCGCTGATCTGAAAAGCCTGACCTCTCCTCTCCTCCAGCGACGGAGACTGAATACCGAAGGTCCAGGAAACTTAGTATCGAGCCAAGTTTTGAGCTGACTTTATTCTCGACGCCGCCAGGTGAACATCGGCGCCAGATCGGAGGCAGCAACACTGAGCTTATGAGGCGGACGGTGAAGAACATACCCAACTCCCCTCCCTCCAATCGTCTTTCCTGAATGAACCGAGATATCCCCGCGATGTTGGTTAAGCAGGTATGGGCTGTCTTAATTGGAGACTAAGTCGGTGTACTTCCTTTAGCAGATGTTGCTCAGACAGCGGTTGTCAAACGCTTCCAGTTTTTGCTCCTCTTCCATGCGCACAGCCCAGCATCCATGACTGTATGCGATGGCTGATCGGACGGATGCCGAGTACACGCGGATCTCTGTAACAATGAAGATTTTGGGCCTGGTTTAGAAAGACTTCCGGAGGTCTATGAAACTCTGCGAGCAGCATCGATTCTGGAGACGATGTCGCCCTTACTCTATCCATGCGGCAACAGCCTCGTCTCGAGGTATTTGATCATGTCTACTTCCTCAAATTGACAACCATTAATGCTGACGGTCGCCCGCTCCTGGTCAAAGATGTAGCTCTTCCCAGCGTCTTTCCAGCGTTTATGGATAAACCGACCGATTGAGAGACTTCATTCTACCGGAACAAGCTAATTAGTTAGTCCCGTGACCTGGTGGGAGAAGAAATTGGCCCGTACCTCACATTGGGCGCACTTTGTCTTCAATTTGTTTGGGTGGCCTCGGAGACTTATTGTTTATGCCAATTCAAAAAAAGCGGTCAACTGAAGTGCGCAGTCTATCCCTCTACCGAGTTTGAAGAACATGATCATATCCCCTTTGCATTCGCCATCCAGGAGGGAAAATTTTGGGCCTTTATTATCATCCCTCGCAAGGTAGGCACTTTAGTCTGCTGGCTAGTTTGGTCGCCCTTCGTTGAACCTTCTCCAAGAGCGTAGTGTCGCTTTATTCGGGGGACATCACGCATGAACGCGGTATTCTAATGCCATTCGAATAAGCGCTTCAACTACTTGATCAAAAAAGGTCTTCGTTAAGTTTAGGGAGGGACCTCCCGAGCGCTCCAAGGATACGCACAGCTTTCATTGCAATGTCTGCGCAGAGAGTCGAAGGCTTGAGTGTGCGCAACATCCACAAGCGTAGGTCCGGGGCCTCGTTTACTGGCTCGGGTTGGTGACCTTCGATGAAATATTAATGCGTCACTCTCGTAACTAAAACTGTAGTCGGATAGTCCGAAATTTGTGAAGAAGGAGACACGATCTCTGGAGCAAGAGCTTTTTGCATCTGAAGTTTCGGATTCCTCCTCGAATCCATCGTGAGAGACGATAGCAGATACGTGCGATTCATGAACAAGGGGCTGAAGTATTTATAGGACGCAGTCGCAGTGCTGCCACATACCTATGGGACTTCACGGCTCCAGATACTGTGAGCTTATGGTCGAGATCGGTACCAGTCTGCTCCTGTAGAGGATGACTTAACGAGCCCGCGAACAAAGTATGATACACGAAGCAGCACTGGAGAACAAATTCCGAAAGCTGCCCAATCCAACGTCGCCTAAAAACGACAAACTGGTGCACAATCCGTTGCAAAAGGAGCTGACGAAGGGCCAGGTGTAGATGTTACGGCTGACGCTAAACCTGTTAACATGAGCAACTTTGTCAACCGATGCATACGCAAAAAGGGCAAAAGGCCAAACCACGGTAAACCTAATTTCGGCGAGCGCATCCATATGTCGAGAGCATTTCGGAAACTGTTAGTCACCTTCCCACACCACTTGGGGTTGGGGTTGGACACAGACCGGACGCAACCATCAGGCGTCAGATAATGAAACCGAAAGACCCGCTGCTACGGCAAGGCAGTCTGGAGTCGTTTATCGGACCTGGTGCAGTTACGGACAACGAAACTACGTCGGAGAAGCCGGAAGATTGCTCCGAGCGCGAATGGCCCAGCAGCTGCAGCAGTGCGGAGAAATGACGTCAGCTCTCAAGTTGCGACTCAATCGACGAGATCCGGCCACACATTCATATTCGACGAGGCCGAAATTCTCGTTAGAGGTGGCAACTGCCTGAGCCGGGTGCTACTTGAGTCGTGGTTTGCTGGCCCCCAGTCCATTAACAAGTGCAATGACCGCCCCCTTCCATTCTTGGCGCTGAGACTTCGCCTAGGCGGAGTAACTGGCTACGCGGGGAGCGGACAGGGGAACACTGTTCCCAACGCCAGGGTCGGTGGGTCAGATGGTTGAGCAA